AAGTGCAGTTCACCAGCGTCACGTTGCGCGCGCTCCCCGACATCGACTCCACGTCCACCACGACGTCCGCCGCAAAGGTCACACCAACGTAGCACACCACCGACGTCCCGAAACCGGCGTTCACCTCCACATCCACACGCACGTCCTGTACGCACGAGTCGGCGCCGTCAGTGCTCGGTGGCTCGGGAACAGCGACGGGCAAACACGCATTGCCGTGGCCGCCCTCAGCGCACCTGCAAGCGCAGCCATCACTCGACACCGTCGCCGTGTACGCGGGGAAGCACGACGCCGCGAGGGTGCATGGGTCGCTGCAGTTCAGAATGGTCGCATTGTACGCAGACGGAATACTGTATCTCGCCCCCTCCTTGTCATTCACTGTGTTGCACGCGGCCACAACCGTTCCGTTTGTGAGATCGCTGGACCCTAATAATATCCAAAGCACCTTCGGCGTGCCCGTGCTGGAAATGAATTTGTTGCCGGACACAGACACCGTGGAGTTCCGTAGATTTACCCTGGGGTATGCATAGGCAAAGGCATCCGATGGGGATTCACGGCAGAGGTTGCCGCTCAACTGCAGCCAGGAGTTGTAGTAGACATAGGTGTAGTAGTTGGTGAAGAACACATTCAAGCTTCCCTGCATGTCATTGCCCTGAAACACAACCGCTGACCAGGACTCCACACGTAATGCCCAGAAAAATAAAATGAAGTACCTCACCGGCCTCGACGCAACGTTGTCTCGGATCACCACGGCGGAGTTGTTCAGTACATCCAGCGACGAGGATTGGAAAGACCCTCCAAGATATATCACCGTAGCGCCACCGTCGTCCATATGAAACGTGTTGCCCACCACCGCAAACAGGGAGTGCCACGACACCCTCAGCACAGATCCAACAACGTAAATGGCACTTGACGATGTCGTCACGCTCTGAAACACATTGCCACTGAGCACCACCGCGGAGTCATTGCTGACCACCAGCTCATTCATCGCTACACACGACGGCCTTCTAATGTCCAAGCCCGACCGAGAGATCAGCCTCGTGACCTTGAAGCGGTTCCCGCTGATGGTGATGTTCGTGTGCGGTGGAAAATCACCCTCCGGGCTAAGAAGCGCGTCATCGAACGTGTTGCCGGTGACAAAAACGTTCAGCGATTCCACAGCGGCGTGCGCGTCGCCCGCCAGCAACAGTACAGCGCCGTCCCTCCACGTGCATCCATCAAACGTGATGTTCGCCACGTCGCCCGTCATCCCCCCAATCAGCACCGTCAGGATCATGCCACCCCCGCTGAACGTCACGTTGCGGTAGCACAGCCACGACAGCCCGCTGCCCACTGCCTGCGCAACCTCGGGGTACACCATGTCGCTGATGCACTCACCAATCGGCGGCGGTGACGGTGGTGCGGGCGGCGGTGGCGGTGGTGGCGGACCAGCAGGCACAGGCGCCGGGACGCACACATCGCCGTGCCCTCCAGCAGCGCACTGGCACTTGCAGTCGCTGACCGCCGTCGTCAGCGGAGCAAAGCAGTCGCCGTCCCTCGTGCACTCCCCGCACGCAGCAACCGTCGTCACGTTGGTGATGCCATTCAGCTCCAGTTCAGCCGCCGTCGTCAGCACCCGGCCCGCAACCGTCAGACATCCGGCAACGAACCCGTAGCCGGCGTCAATCCGCGACAGCGGAGACTTATACAACCCCGTTGAGCCCATCCTGCAGCCCGTCAGCGTCACCACACTGCTGCCATCGATGTTCACAGAACCGCCAAAGGAAAAGTAGTAGAACATCGCACCCACTCCCACGTCGTTGTCGCGCCAATCCAGCCAGCTTGAATTCCGGACGGTCCAAGAATCAGACAAAAAAACGGCGTAGGACACGGAGCCGCTGTTCCCCACCACGCGCACCACGCTGTGATTCGACACGGTGAGGTCGTGGTACTGGTACAGGAAACTTGTCCCGGAGGCCATCGTATTGTTGAGCAGCGCAAAAACGGAGCGATCACTGGCAATGAGCCTATACATGTACAACATGTGTGTGTATTTATCAAAGCTGCAGTACCGCGTGTACAGCGAGCTGCCGCCCACCAGCGTCAGCGTCCCGGTCGAGTACAAACCATACCCACTGTAACCCAAAGCACGCGCCTTGACGTTGCTGACCAACAGCGAGGACGCACTCAACGCAACGTCGTCCAGCTTCACGACGCTCAACATGTAGTTCACAGAATTCGGCAACTGCACCGCGTCGACTTCAGTGACGGCGATGTCGCAGTGCTGCGGGAGGACACGTCTAAATAGAACAACGGAGGACCGCATCACCGTCTGGCTCACGCGGATAAGGACGCCGGCCGACTCGGCCACCTCAGTGCCCCCAACAAACTGCAGCGCGGCTCCGTCACGGAATGTGCACCCAGTGAGCGTGATGTTGATGGGGAGATGCAGCGGCATACTGTTGAAGGAAAATGTCAACGCAGCACCCACGCCGCTGAATGTCACACCCACGTAGCAGTGGTGCGTCTTCCACATGTTCAGCGCGAGGCTCGTCAGCGTCTGGTTCACCACGCAGCTCGTGTCGCCGTCCACGGCTCTCTCCGGCAAGGGCGGCACAACCGTGTCGGGCACCCCGAAGGGAAGACACGACGCGCCACGCCATCCGCTCTTGCAACTGCACGAGCACGAGCTGCGGTCCACCGACTCCGTCCCGGGCATGTAGCACGCCGCGTCGTCGTTGCATGTGCCGCACCCGAACACCACCACTTTCTCCGGAAACACGCCGTCGTACGACACCTCCCTCTCGCCCTGCATGTTGCACCCCACCACAAACTGCGCGGGTGACGTCACAATCAAACCCGATGAAGTAATTTTCGCAAAGGCTTTACTCGAGTCCGCCTGACGGTTGTGTGCAAGCGACACGGTGGTGCCGCTGCCCGATAGTTCAATACTGTACCAGGAAAACGGCATACTCAATACTGAGGCTGCGCTCACGTTGTTGCCCTCCACACGCCACTGCGCACCACCCTGAAGAGCAACCGAGTCGTACAACTGCACCAGAGCAGAATTGATTGCCTCCGTGCTGCCAGTGAAGGTGCAGTCCGCCACCCTCAGCAGCCCCGCGGAGCTCACAGTAGTATCCCCGAGAAAAAAGATGCCGATGGATGCGCTAATCGTGTTGTTCTCGACGTCAATGTAGCCGCCGTTCTTCAAATCAACATCGTTATAATAAACGGCAGACTCCGAGCTGTAACCCCTCTTTATTGACTTCAGCATATTTCCCTTAATAATGATCCCACTACCATCAACAACAACAGCATCGGGGAAATGAACTGCGTAAGTATCCCCCTCCATGTTGTTGTCGAGCAGGAGCAGCGTCGAGTTCGCACCCAAATTAAAACTTGGAAATTGAATGGCATGGCTCGACGTTGACAAGAGCTTACTGCCTGCCACCAGTATCTGGGAACTCGCGCCAAAATCATCCTCAAACTCCAATGCACCAGAATCCAGCATCGAGGATGTCACGCTCACGTGCACGCGCGCACCACTCCCCTTGATCGAAAAGCCCATGAGGACGCACTGCAGTAGCGTGATGTTGAGTGTCTTTCCTGGCGCGTCGAAGCTCCACAGGTCCAGCACAATCGCGGCGGTGAAGGTCACGTTGACAAAGCACAGACCACGCACACCGGGATCAGGATAGTCCACGGAGCTGATGCTGCCACCGTGCACGCAGCGGACCTCAGTATCGTTCGCATCGGGGAGCGGGAGCGGCCCAAGGCCGTCCGGAACCGCAGCTGGCAGACACGTGTCACCGTATCCGCCAGCAGCGCACACACACCCACAGCCGCTGACGCTGCTCGTCCTCGCTGCAAAGCACACGGCGCCCACGGTACACGTGCCACAGTCCAATGCCGTCACGGGCGCCACAATATTGAGCTCACTTCTGTAATTCTTCACGGGAGACCCCTTTATCTCGTTGCACGTGCCGTAGATGATGGGGCGCGAGTCGGATGTTGGTGACCACCCGCTTGTCATGTATGCAGTGATCGGCGAATAGAAGCCGTACCCAAAGTCGTTGTAAAGTATCGACCACACACTCCGATCGCGGAACGCCACGCCGTCGTATCTAGACACGTACACAACGTAGACGGTGCGGAACTCGTTGTCGCGGTGCACCAGCCAGCTGCCGCCAGTCACAGTCAGCGTGGTTGCCATGAGCATGGCGAAGCCGAGACGGAACGTGCTGGACACAATCTGCAGCACGCTGCCGCCATCCACCGCAACGTCCCCAAACACAAACGCGCCTTTGTAGTACTCGGTGCTCGGCGCACTCCACAAGCTGTTCTGTATGGAGAACACGGAGCCGCCGAAAACACGCAGGCCCGACGCAAGGGCGTACATCACGTGCGTCTGCGAATTGACGGCGCAGTTGTCCATGTAGAAGACGCTGGACAGGTTCACACCGAGGCCGCGCTCCACAAGGATCGCAGCGCACGAACCCCCGCCACACACCAGCGTCGACCGCGTCATGACAAACCGTGTCGACAGAAGACGGACGCCGTCCAGGACAAGCGCGGGGCCGTACCGGGATTTCTCGTGGCCAGGGGTCGTCGGCACGTACTGCGACCCGTCAACCGTCGCACGCAGCGTCGAGTTCGCCAGCAGCACACTCGAGTTCAGCGGCATCGCGCCATGCAGCACAATCGTGCCCTCCAGCGACGTCACATTCGTCATGTTGACTAGGGCGTGGGGCATCAGGTGCGCCGTGCTCTCGCTGAGGCCGCCAATCCGCAGCTGCGCGCCGCCCGCAAGCACGCAGTGGCGCAGCGTCACGTTCAGCGTGTCAGCGAACGCATCCATCGAGCGCAGGTCCACCGCCACAGTGATCGGTCCGCTGAACACCACCGAGTCGAAGCACGCCGTCGCCTGCCCGCCGCCAACCGTCACGGACTCCGTCAGCGTCACGCCACTCACGCAGTCCTGCCCACCGCCACCACCGCCGGCCCTCGCAGGCGGCACGTCGAACGGCAGGCACGCGTCGCCCACACCGCCGGCGCGGCAGCTGCACACGCAGTCGGTGAACGACGCCGTCAGCGCATCGAAGCACGCCAGCGCTGCCGCACAGCCGTCGCACGGCACCACGCTCACGGAGGGCAGGCCGGCCAAGCGGTAGTCGCCGCTGCTCTGCAGCACGCGGCCGCCCGCACGGTTGCACTGCACGGACACAGCGCCGCTCGTGATCGTCGGTCCGGCGGGCAGCGTCGCG